ACTTTTAGCCCAGAAACTGGCTACATTTCCTTGGGGTCTTTTTACCCTAACTGCCTAGCCAATTCCAACCTCCTATTCTCATCACGCCATCCTCTGAAGGGATCACCCAAATTGCCAATAGGGAATAGGGACACAGACTGCTTTGGCTTCTTCCATGCTGAACAGGGACGCAGGGTGAGGCAATTGGAGTACACCTTCAGTGGGTCTATCTAAAAGACTCCCAAATTGCATAACTCTTGTCTCTAAGGGGAAAAGAAAGTTGTTGAATCATGAATAGGAAATGTGAAGGAGAAGTAAAGGCAAGAGTGATTAGCTTTATGAGTTCTAGACAGGGAACTAGAAAAAAGAACAGGGAAATTTTCAAATGTTCATGAGAGTCCATTGGAGTTTCTTGACAAAAGCTTCCAAAAACATCCCTCTATTGGGTTCTTCTTCATTTTTCTTTTTTCTTCCAAGGCTGGGCTAGTTGGCTGGGAAGAGTGGCTGGATGCTCAGATGAGGGTCCAGTGACCCTGACTGGCATTCCTTTATGAATGAGCACAACAGTCAACAAGCCCAATTGTGACTATGTTTAGCGATCAGGCTCAGCCGAAGTCTCGATGATGGTAGTTATTTCATGTAGAAGGGACTGCTGTATAGTATAGCATCATCTTATTAAAAGGACCTGGAATTTAAAAGGATTTGGTTCTAAGAGCCACATATGAGGGAGAAATACGTCATTTGTTTTTCTGAGTCATGTTACTTCACTTAGTATAAGTTTCTAGATCCATCCATTTACCTGCAAATTTCATTATTTCATCTTTCTTTACTGCTGAATAGATAGAACTCCATTGTGTAAATATACCACATTTTTGTTAATCACTCATCAGTTGAGGGGGACTTAGGTTGCTTCCATCTCTTAGCTATTGTAAAAAGAGCAGCAATTTTATGATTACATTTTTCTTTACAGCTGAATATAATTCTGTTGTGTATATATACCACATTTATTAACATTATCATTCATTCATTAGTCAATGGAGATCTAGGCTGCTTCAAGAGCAACAATGTACATAGATGAGCAAGTATGTCTGTGGTAGGATATCGAGTCATTTGGGAATGACTACGCCTAGGAGTGGTATAGCTGGATCATATGACAGATCTATTTCTATCTTTTTAGTAGCTTCCACACTGATTTCCATAGTGGTTGTGCCAGTTTGTAATCCCACCAACAGCAAATGAGGGTTTCACTGCATCCTCACCAGTATTTGTTGCCAGTTGTTTTCTTGAACTTAGTTGTTCTGACTGGTAAGATGAAATCTCAAAGTAGTATTGCATTTCCATGAGGCTAAGGATACTGAACATTTTTAAAGATAGTTCTTAGTCAATTTTTTTCTTTTGAAAATGCTCTGTTTAGATCCACAGCCCTCTTTTTGACTGGATTTGTTTTCTTGACTGTTCTGGACATTAATCCTCTATCAGATATATAGCTGGCAAAGCTTTTCTCCCACTCTGTGGGCTTCCACTTTATTTGATTGATTGTTTCCTTTCCTGTACAGAAACTTTTTAGTTTTACGTGCTCCCATTTGTCAATTGTTGGCCTCGATTCATTTTCTGCACACATATTTTATAGGACAGTGCTTATGCTTTCTTCCAGTAGTGTCTGTTTCTGGCTCCACATTGAGGTCTTTGATGCATTTGGAGTTATTTTTGTGCAGGGTAATAGATATGGGTCTAATTTCCTTCTTCTAGATATGGTCATTCAGTTTTTCCAGCACCATTTGTTGAAGATACTGTCGTTCCAGTGCACATTTCTGGCATCTCTGTAAAATATCAGGTGGCTAAGTGCATTAGGTCCCGAGCAATAAGAACAATGCTGGAGGGATCACAATACCAGATTTCAAGTTGTATTACAGAGCTGTAGTCATAAAAAAAAAAACAAAACAGCATAGCACTAGCACAAAAACAAACCAATGGAACAGAATAGAAGACCCAAGTATCTCTTGTTTCTGTTGTTGTGCTGCATACTCCAGGCTGGTTTGTGAGTTTCCAGCTGATTCTCCTGTCTTTACCTCCCATCTCATCATATGACTGCTGGATTTATAGATGTCTACCACTGCATCCAGTTTTTCATGTGTTCTGGGGCTCAAACTCAGGCTATTAGGCTTGCACAGCTAGTGCTTTTACCTGCTAAGCTCTCTCCATGACCTGAAAGTAAAAATTTATTTTGAGACAGGGTTTCATTATGTAGCCCTAGCTGGCCTGAAACTTGCTAAGTAAACCAAGCTGGCCTCAAACTTTTATGGAGCCTTATCTGGCCTGAAACTTGCTATGTAAACCAAGCTGGCCTCAAATTCATAGACATCTGCCTGACTTTCCCTTCGGAATGCTGAGATTAAATATGTGTGCCACCATACCTTGCTTAGTAAGATATTTTTGAAATTTATTTTTATTTTACAAGTATGAGTGTTTTGTATGTAAGTGCACCACATGCATTCAATCCCTCCAGAGGCCAGAAGGGCACGCTGGATCCTCTGGAATTACAGTTACAGTTGGTTGTAAGCTTCCACGTGGGTGCTGGGAAACGTACTCTGGTCCTCTGCAAGAGCAGCAAGTGCTCTTAACCACTGAGCCATCTCTCCAGCTCTAAGATAATTTTATTAAACCCATGGATTACTTACAAAAGAAAATATTCTTTTCTGGCCTGACATTGAATCCCTTAGCTCTAATACCAAGTTTAGAAAACAATGAAATAATATTTATGATACTCTAAATGGGAAAAGATTGAACTTTGAAATTTCATATATACCTAAGCAAAAATTTGAGTTCTCTATATTATCTTATAATATTTTTAAAAATGTTAATTGCTAAAATTGATATGAAAAGAAGTAAAAAAAAAGACATATAAACAAATAATCAAGGACAATATGGGGGAAAACTGTTACAGAATGACCTAGCTACCATTTAGAGTTTTCAAATAATTTTACTGGCTTGTTCTATGAAATCTTACAAGAGCAGGTGTAATATTTCAATTCACCTAAGAAACCAAAGATCAAATTTACAAAAATAAGGAACTCCAACACATCTGGGTAAGGATTGTGAGGAGGCATGAGGATAGATGCTACTCACTGAGGTTCAGTCTAGTGTCTGGGTAGGAGGTACAGCAGCAAAGGAGCAAGATAACAGTGAGAGTGACACATCATACAGCCCAATCAAACTCCTTGTATCTTTTTCAACTCTGATTTGTCACAAACTATTGAGACTATCATTAATTGGTACAGCTTTATAGAGAAGTAGTTGATAATAGGCATGGTGTGCACACTTTTGATCCCAGTACTTGAGAGGATCTGAACCAGGCAGATCTCTGGTCTACAAAGTGAGTTCCAGGCCACCTAGGGCTACTAGGGCTACAGGGAGACCCTGTCTCAAAAACAAAACAAAACAAAAAAGAATCTTTAAAAAGTTCATATCTATGAATGACACTTATTTCAAACTTCTGCCTTCCAAGGCTCATGGTTCATTTCAGAAAAGGACGTTGAAAGATTTTAAGAGACAGAGGAGGTGGATGATCACAGAAAAACAGAATTAGATACGCATAACTCACAACAATGGTGATAGCATGCACAAGTCCTAGGTAAGCTCAAAGCAGACAAATCCCATCATAGGGGAAGTGGTCAAGAAATCCCGGGGCTGGAGAGACGTTTCAGCAGTTAAGAGCACTGGCTGTTCTTGCAGGAGACCCAGGTTCAAATCCCAACACCCACATGGAGGCTAACTTCAGTTCCAGGGGATCTGATGCCTTCTTCTGTCCAGGGGATCTGACGCCTTCACTGCACCACATCGGTGCACTTACATGCATGCAGACAATACACTCATCCACATAAAATAAAAATAAATAAATCGAAAAAAAAAAGAAAGAAAAAGAAATTCCAACCCAACCTAAAGAACTTTTGGCAATTGATGGCTGCTAGGAGGGGGTGAGACAGTGTATTACAGGGATGGGACTCGTGGAGGACCTAGTAGATCGACCCACATTGAAGGACAATTAGACTCTATAAGCTGTATTATACGTGTTTGTTTGTGTGTGTGTGTGTGTGTGTGTGTGTGTGTGTGTGTGTAAGAGAGCACATTAAATTAGGTGGAAGGCATTGGGCAGGGGTGCAGATAGGGGAGGGGATCTAAATACCATCAAGCTACATTGTGCAAATCATAAAAATTCAATAAAAAATAAAATTATTTTTAAGAAGTTCGTTTCCAGAGGGACACACACAAAAAAGACACAAAAGTGGGAAAGATTAGTAGGGAAGTGGGGTGGGGAGTGACGGGGGTGGGGAGATAAGAGAGTGTGTGGGTGAGAGAAATCAGAATGCATGGTACACAAGTATGAAATTGTAAAAAAAAAACTAATTAATTTAAGAGTTCATATCCTTTAGTCAAACAATCCATTTCTAAAAACAAATATTGATATTTGTTCATTTGAAGTAGTAATTGCACAATTATGTAAATATACAAATAATCATTGAATTATGTATTTAACATGAGCTAAGTAGCTTTACAAAGTAACAGGTTTTGTCACAGCATTTTCATGAGCACTTTGTTTTGATTGATTCTCCACCCCACTCACTCCCTATCCCATCTCTTGATGCCTCCTTTTCATCAGTTTGCTTTTGGTCAGTGTTTTATCATAGCAATAGAAAGCTAACTAAGGGCAATTGCCCTCCTTTTATGGTTGAGGAAACAGAATGTCAGAGAGGTGATTTTCTTCAGGGTGCCCTGGCTCTGAATGGATGGTCTGAAAATCTCAAAATCCAAATGAGTTAATTTTACTACGACAGAAGGAAGAAGAGAAAGAAACTAGAAAGGGAAAGGCCAGAGTTTGGGGAGGAAAAAAGTGAGAGGAGACTACTTTGTTTTTTATCTCTAGTAGGAGCCTGAGACACCTTTGGGCCAATGCTGGGCCAGGCAAGCAGAAGGCGGGGTGGGTGGAGCCAGGGACAGGGATAAACATTGCTTCCTCACCAGCAGCACCCACTGTCTTTGGTTCGTCCTCAGTGCAGGACAACAGGTAAGAGCTGCTTTTAGCCATCTCTCTGGTCCCTCTGCCCACTTGAGGGCTGAACATTGACTCTGGTCTAACTAGATCTGACTTTGTTTCATAGAAACTGTCATTTGTCATTTTCTCTTTTCTCTCCTATATGTCTCTTCCTGTCTTTCTTTCCCCCTTTTCCCTCTTGTCTTAATTTCCAGTATCACTCATCTTACTTCCTCTCTTGACAACTCTTGCTTCCTCTTACTTTTCCCTCAGTGGACATTCTTCTGTATTTTCTGCCCTTGCTGTCGCTTTCTTCATTTCTGAATCTCAGTATCTTTCTGGTTCTGGTTCTGTCTCTTCCTCTTCTCTGTTTCAGACATTCTCTAGCCCTCCTTCCCTTTGACCCATGTCTGCCCACTTGATCTAGGGCAGAGCTCAAGGTTTCAGAGACTAGGGGGCCAGAACTAAAGAGGGAAAACTGAAAGGGTATGGGGGGGTGGGAATAAAGGCTTGGGTAAGGAAAGATCTGAGGGAATTGAGAGGTTGAATGCTTAGCACAAATAAGAGGAGAAAGATGGAAGAAGAATGTTAAGTCACTATGCAGAAAAATAAAGAGATTTGTATCCTCACTCTTAATTCATTGTGAGACGCAAAGCAAGTCATTTATCCTCTAACAAAAGAGCTTGGCCCATGATTTCCACTTTTGATTTTGTGATCTTCTAGCTTTTTCTATGCCTAAGAATTTCTGATTTTCTTATTCTAGGTAACTAAAACTTTGTATGAATCTTCAGTGGTAGGGAAGAGGGTACTATGAAGGGAGGTAAGGCCTGATGCTTCCAGTTCCTGAAGAGAAAGAATTGATTCCTCTCCAGACTTAAATGTTTCTTGCAAAGCAGACCCAGAGCAATAGGAAGGAGGGGCAAGGAATGCTATAGTGAGTGGTTTCTGATTTCTCTACTGGGATGGAGTTGTGGTTGGCCTTTCTGGCCTCTGGGACTACAAACTTGGTGCTGACATAAAAGGGAATTATAAAGATGCAGGAAAAAAATCTTTGAATAGTGATGGCCACTTTGCGTAAACTTTCACCATTACCTCTTTGATTGAAAGCACTGTTTAAAGATTACTGGCAAGCTTTTCCACAGAGTGGGGTGTGTAAATTATTAAATAGGGGAATGAATTAACAAATGTTCTACAGCACCTCAAATCTCACTTTAGCACCTTTTGTTAAGGCATTGGCAATAAAAAGTAAATGGGCCTGTGTTAGCATTAGCAGGGTGTCTTAATGTCCAGAGTCAAGCTCTTAGCTAATAAATAGGTAATATTTGAATCACGTGTTCATAATAGTTAAGTTAGTCGTCTCTAGAGCCAGACTACCTAAATTAAAATCTTGCTTCTTTCACTTATTGGTTCTGTGACCTGGACAAGTTACTTAATCTTTTTGGGTCTGGCACAATAAGAGCTCTGTAAGTGTTTAAATATTAGACCCAGATGGGAAATTATGAAATTTCTTATCTAGTCCAATATCTGTGGAGAAACAGAAGTTCAGAGAGGGGAAGCACACAGTAAGTTGTAAAAGGATTGTGGTAAGAATCACATCTCCAGCTTTCCAGAGTTGGCCTGATACCTTCATGATGTGACTCATTGGCTCTAGAGTCTATGCTTTGTTTTTCATAGAGGGTCTGCTGTTTAATCTTGAGAGGCCTGGTACTATGTAGCCTAGGTTGACCTTGAACTCAGAACCCTCCTGCCTCAGCTTCCTGAGTGTCACCACATTCAGTTAAGAGTCTATGCTCTTAATATCCTGAGTTGCCTAAAATGCTTCTTTAATTAGATTTGTCTCACTGCAGTCTCATATTTACAAGCGTATGGCATGGACACAGAGTCCAAAGTTCATGTGCTACAAAATTATAGGTCATAATGATGTTCAGGCAGAATGGGATGGGGCAAGTTGGTAACAGAAGCATTAGAACATGAGAAGTTGTAAATGGAACTTAAAAGAACTTGCAAATTCAAAAACTTCAAGAAGTATTATATATTTTTACTAGAATCCTCAGTACTCCATCGTCAACAGCCCAATAGAGATAATGAGTATACTGAATTTTTTCAGTGTTTTTCATGAAAGGTAGGTCTTAGTCCACCATCATTCTAGGGAAGGACTGCGCTTTGCCTTCAATCTTGAGGGCTCTACTTCTCACTATACACATCCGTGCTGTTGCCTTCACTGTTGTCAGTGTTGATGATGGGGAAGGAGTTTGTAGGAACTTGCAGGAGTGTGCAGGAACCTAGGCTTACCCCAGATTGCCAGAGCCAGCCCCAGCCAGATGCTCAGACATGATTCTAGGAAGGGGCTCTTCTCTCCCACGCCCTGGTCTCAGCTTGGGGAGTGGCCAGGCCACAGTGGTGGTAAATTCCAGGACCTTTATCTGTGGTCTGCAGGCTCAGCCCTGAGTACTTTAGTGTTCCTAGGCAGGCAGAAGGGAGACTTATTTCTAGATATGAGGTAGGCACTGGATCCAATCTATGACCTACCATGTGATGTAGGCATAATTACCTCACATTTGACAACTGATAAAACCCAAGAGCCAAGAAGGAGAAGTGACTTGTCCAAAAACATTGAACAAAGGAGCTAGGAAGCTAGAACTTAAATAAGAAAGCCTAATATTTATTGAAAACTTATAATATGCCAGGTACTGTGCTGAAGGTTTAACATGGGTTATTTCATTTAGTTCTTTCAACAATCTTTTTGCTTTTCCCAGCTTCAGAGCCCATATACCCAGACTCCATAAAATAACTTGGACTGCTGTAAACAGGCCCATGAACTTCTCCTACCTCCTGCCTCATTCCTTACATCATAAGGCTTTATACACAGAGAGGGACTTTGCTCAGTAGCTTTCTTATCAGAACTAGGGCCTCATCTCTCTCCCATTGTACAGTTCTTTACCTTGTCTCACTTTTTCATTCTGGCTCTACAATTTGCCCTTTTCCTTTCAATTCTTTCCCACTCTTGTTCTGTCTTTCATTTGCTAACTGTCTTCCCTTCTCTTTAGCCTCCTTTCTATCTCCATTTCTTGACCTTTTGATTTTCTCTATCCACTTGTGTCATTCAGTTTCTCTCTCACCTCCCCCAGTAGGGCTACGTTCCCTTTCCCCTGCCTCCTCTTTATGTTTTTTAACCCTTCCACTTTATCTTGCTGTCTCATTCTCTGCCCTTGCTGAATTCTTTCCTCCTCTGATCAATTTTCAGTCTTTATATATTACTATGGGCTACTGGACATTTCCTCATGTCCCTTTTGTGTCCCTATGTTGGTCTCTACCCCTATATTTCCAGTTTCTCTTTCCCTTGTCTTAATTATCTTTCCCTCTCTTTTCTGTATTTCCCATCATACTCTTATCCCTAAACATTAACCTTCCTCTCCCTGCGTTTTCATCTCTACCCTGTTCTCCTTCGCTCCAGCTTTGATGTCTTTCTCTTTCTCAACTTCTGTTCTTCTTCCCTCTTTACTACTACCGTGTCTTTGTTCTCGTTCTCCTTTGATCTTTTGGGAGATTTCTTCTTTTCCTTCCTCTACTTCCTTCGTTCTTTGATTTAAGATCCTATTTATTCACTAATTTTCTCCGAAATTCAATCAATATGCATGAGATCTATGTGTCATTTGGTTTGTCCGTTCCTTTGGGTGTTCGCTGTCTTTTTTTTCCAGCCCCTTTCTTTCCTCTCCCTTGGCCTCTGTCTTTCCACTCACTCATATAGACTATATCTTTGTGCCTTGTTTTCCAGCCCCCTTGGATTTTACTTTGACCTCCCCTTTATCTGTATTTTAACCAAAAGTCAAGAGAAAAATCCAAAGATAAAGCAAGGTACTAGCCTAGTGGTGCATAGCCTGTAGGGCCCATGCCTGCCCTTTCTTGTTCCCTGGATCTCTTTAAACTGACTGCTGGCTTCACTTTCTTTCTTTCTCTGTGGCAGAGCTTTCTCCAGAACCACTCTGGGACAAGCCTCAGGAGCTTTGGTGAATGGCATGTGTTATCATTAGTGCCCAGAATATTCATTTTGTTGAGGCTAATATTCTTAAGAAGATGCTTAGCCTTAAGTGTTGATCAAAGGATTGTTTATAATCTGTAATTGTGCCACACACAAAAGCACTTCAATGATCCTCTCAGTCACTGAAGAGCTAATGGTAGAGTAAGTCAGAATCCAGGTTTTCTGGTCTCTAGTTAGATCAATCCCCCCTCTCTCCTTTATCTATTAATCAGTTTCTTATTTCTTACATTCTCACACTGGAAGTTCTTGCCTAAAAGAACAATAAGGGTATCTCTGAGGATGGTAATAAGTTTTAGGTGGGAAACTAAAGCTAAAGAATCAAACAGGGGAAAGGCCTTTGGCTTTTGGCCAAGCCCTCATGATAGACTCTCATCTGCTCCATGTTTTCTGCAGGACTTTGGGCTCAAGATGGTCACAGCAGCTGTGTTGCTACAGTCCTGCCCAGTGCTTTCCCGGGGCCCCACAGGCCTCCTGGGCAAAGTGGCTAAGACTTACCAGTTCCTATTTGGTACTGGACGCTGTCCCATCCTGGCCACCCAAGGACCAACCTACTCTCAAATCCACCTTAAGGCAACCAAGGCTGGAGGAGGTAAGAAAAGCTTATTGACAAAAGGAAATGTCTGGGTCACAAAGACAATGTCTGAAGACAATACTGTCTGTGATTACATACTAACTTGGAGAGTTAATGTGAAAAATGTCAAGGCAGAATGAACTGACCTAAAAAGGTCTCTAAAAAGAGTCTAAATTCCATATTCCTCACATGTTACAGCCATGGTGAAACTGGTTAAAACCACCCAAATCAATTTTCTTGTCTCAAGATTCCTTGCCTTTGTTCTCAACATATTATCTTCTGCTATGCTATTATCTTCTCTCATACTTCTCACTCAACATTGAATTTGGGCATCATTTCTTCTGCTAAGCTTGCCAGGACCTCTAGCCTATCCAAAACAAACTCTTGGTCACATCCCCATATCTTGTGGGTTTCTTTAACCCTGGCCTCTCTCCCATCCCACTGTTTATAATGTGTCTCCGGTGTATGCTGTTTCCAGCTAGCTGCTTAGGAGCTTTGCTAGCAGAGAGATCAGATGCCTTTACTTTCACGTCTCTATCATAGCCTGAGATAGGGTTTTGGGCTACAATAGGTCTCAGTAATTAATGGTGAATTAAATGTATGGCTAAGAATGAACCTCCAGTTACTTTCCTATCTTTGTGTAGATTCTTCATCTTGGGCCAGAAGCCACTGTCCTTTCATGCTGTCAGAACTCCAAGATGGGAATAGCAAGATTGTGCAGAAGGCGGCCCCAGAAGTTCAAGAAGATGTCAAGGCTTTCAAGACAGGTTGGAGTTAAATTTCACCATATCTAACTTATACTTCTTTTATTTTTTTAAATTTTTATATGTATGAGTGTATTGCATGCACGTGTGCACCCATATCACACAGTGCTCGCAGAGGTCAGAGGAGGGTATTGGATTCCCCTTGGAACTCAACTTACAGATGGTTGTTAGCTGCCATATGGGTGCTGGGAATTGAACCTGGGTTCTCTCCAAGAGTAGTCAGTGCTCTTCACCACTGAGTCATCTTTCTAGACGCCCCCCACCTCTATTTGTAATGTTTGAATCCACTTTATCATAATGCTGATCTAAGCTAATCCAAGGGAAGCTAGTACATATTCCATGAGGAGAAGTCTTAGCTTTTTGGAGGGGAACCATAATAGGCAGTTGTTTAGACTGTGCACTGAAGCACACACTCCCCAGCACACCACACACACACACACACACACACACACACACACACACACACACACACAGGCTCCCATAACTTTTAATTGTTAATCTAAGATGAGCGTTCTTCTCTCCCAGGTGGTTAAATGGAATTCAGAAGGCTGGAATCCCAATTTAAGCAAGACTATGTTATAAAAATCTGAATTTATATGAAGGAGAAAGAGTAGAGAGTAGATACATTATTTTATTTTTCACATGACCTACTCCATCAGTTAGCTTTTATTTCCTGAAAAGTATTATCAATTTGTTGTATTTATGTCCTGAAAAGCATTATCAATTTTATTAAGAATTCAAATAAAGTTTTGCTTACAACAAAACATCCTTTATAAGGGTGTAGAGTTCAAGGAGAACTCCACTGGTACGGAGCAACCAAGATAATTATACATAAGAGATGGCCATACTGTTGTCATCTTTCATAGGTCACTTTGAGATATCACCAAGGACAAAAAATTTTACATTGAAATGTGATGATGTTCAGAAAAGAAAACTAAAGTGCATCTATCTAGCAATTGCCGGACCTAGTATGGCTATTCTGGTTACCTTCCCCAAGTGAGAAGTGTGAGTTATCCTAAGGAAGGTTTCTGAACATTATAGGAGTTGCTACTTAGGGACATGAGTGAGAATTCACTTTATGGAAGCTTTCTGCAGAAGGCTCCTATACTTTCTAAACTTGAATTCCTATACAGTACATTGTGCCTAAAGAGGACAACACATACCTTTTCTCTCTCCTCATGCCAATGAATTCCATATTCCCTCTCAGACCTGCTGAATTCCTTGGACTCAAGCATCCCAAGGAAATCATTCTCTAGTTCCCAAGATCCAGAGCAGATGGAAGGGAAGCTTACACAGCTGGTTCAGAATATGATTGGTGAGTTTGCTGGGATGGAAATAACATATGTGAAAATAGGGAAGTAGTTCTGAAAGCGTGTCTGACACAGCAGAAGACAGGACATGGGAGGCATTTGAACCCAAAGAATATTTAAGATTAAATTTTATCATTCACATTTGCTGTATTAATTGTAATTAAGTGACTGCACTTGAACAGGATCAAACACTTACTTCAATAGCTTATCATAAGGAGAAATAAAGTTACAGTCATAGGAATGTAGTGCTTTGAGTGTGTTATGCATCCTCATTTAAAATTGAGCTTACTTCCAATATTTTTTTCCATATTTCCCTAAAAATGTCTCACCCTTCACAGAGCCCCTTTCCCTCTCTTGTATGTACTTATATTAGTTTTTCCTAAAGTCATTTTCTTCATTTTTCTAATATATAAATAGGGAATTATTTTTAACAGATACAAGAAAATAGAGATGGGAATTTAAGTCACTGAAGTCTCCTATCCACCATTAATTTTTTATTATATTTTATCCCTGGCACCTTCTTATGACTATGTATACACACACACACACACACACACACACACACACACACACAGAGAGAGAGAGAGAGAGAGAGAGAGAGAGAGAGAGAGAGAGAGACACTCCTCCCAGCATACTTGTTTTATCAGAAATATAATCTTACTCCCTCCAGAGCGCCAGAGTCTGTTCTGTTTCTTTGTTCACTTAATATGACTTACATAGCCCTCCATGTCCATCAACACAGAGTTGCATAACAATTATTAATGGCACTACTATTCTGTAGTGTGTATACATCATCGTTCATTTAACCAAACACCTATAATTTAGGTTGTTTACATTGTTTTGCATTCTTTCAGTTTAGACTGCATATTGGTTTTACAACCATGTAAATACACCCAAAGAAAATGCGTGGTTTTCTTTACCCTTTCAATTTTTTTTAACCTAATGAGTAACTTACTTGCTGGATACGTACTTGCTATATGACCGTGGTCAAGTTAACTAACCTCTTCATGCCTCAATTCCTTCATCTATAAAATACAGACACTCATAGAACTTTTCACATAGGGTTGTTGTGAGGAATAAATTAAATAACATTCAAAAAGTTCCTGGAAGTAGGCTATATATATATTAGCTAATCCATTAAACATTGGATATCATAATATAATGAAATATTAGCTATTTTTACTTACAACTCTATTATTAGTATACTAGTAACGACACTACTGTTACTATGTAGCAAATATTAGTTTACCAGTATTACATGCTGGCTGTTAGCAGACGATCAAAACTCTGCAAGAAAAGAATTCTTAGCCCTATGAGGACATTAAAATAAAGTTTTTTTAAATTAAAATTTTTGTTTGGTATACAAGAACTGGTTTCACCATGGCATCTTCATACACATGCTATTACACTTTCTTCTCATTTGTTCCCATCTCTCTTAATGCCCCCCCCGGCCTCCTCCTGAAGGGGTTCTTTTCGTGCTCCCCTCCTGTCTTTTTGTTGTTGTTTTTATGTCTTTTTAAGGCTGGCTTTCTCTGCATCCCCAACTGGCCTGGAACTTGCTATGTAGACCAAGCTGGCCTTGAACTCACAGAAATCTGTCTGCCTCTGTCTCTCGATTGCTGGGACTAAAGGCATGTGCCACCATGCCCGGCCCCTCTTGCTTTCTTATTACATGTATCCCATTACCTTCTCTACTTCCCACTTATCTCTTCCTCCCCCTCATGATCTCATTTCTAATTTTGTGACCTACAAGCATATATAAACACAAATATATGTATACATACAATTTTAAATTTAGGTCCCACATGTAATAGAACATTGTGTATTTATCATTCTGAGTGTGGGATATTTGCTTAACATAATGATTTTGAGTTGCACCCATTTTCCTGAAAATGTCATTATTTCATTCTTCTTTATAGTTGCAAAAATTCCATTGTATATATATATATATATATCACATTTTCATTATTCATTATTTGTTGATGGGCATGTAGGGTGGTTCTATCTCTTAGATATAGTGCAGCTATAAATTCAGTCCTTTGGATACATACCCAGGAGTATGTATCATTTTCTGAGGAACCTCCACACTGATTTCCACAGTAGCTTACGTTCGCACCAGTAGTATATAAGGGTTCCTCTTTCCTCACATCCTCACCAGCATTTGTTGTCATTTGTTTTTTTGATGATAGCCATTCTGACTGGCTTGAGACAGAGTCTCAAAGCAGTTTTAATTTCAATTTCCCTGATGGCTAAGGATATCAGTTTTTTTTTTAAAGCATTTATTGTCTGTTTGCATTTCTTCTTTTTATAACTATCTATTCAGTTCATTAGCCCATTTGTTGATTGCCTGATTTCTGGCATTTTGGTATTTAATTTTTGCAATGAAGAGAGAGGACTCTTGACTGGCTCAGGGCCACATAGCTAGCAGGTGAGAACAGCTATGACTAGAAACTAGATCTACTGATATTCCTTCCATTGAGACCAGAAGTAATAACTCTTGTAAGGAGTCTTCCATACTACCTCTGGAAAGAAAAATGAGGCCTATTGTAAGGTAAGAAAGCCCAAGTGAATCGGTGAATGAATTATTGATTGAACAAGCAAGTAAACTAAGAGATGGTTGAATGAACTAGTAGAGGATTAGTGTGAGCCAGGGTTGGGGAGTTGGCTCAATAGGTAAAATGCTTGCTGTGCAAGCCTAATTGCCTGTGTCTGAGTCCCCAGAACCCACATAAAAGCCATATGCCATAGCACAAGTGTCTGTAATCTCAGTGTGCCTTTATTGACAGATGAGAGGCAGAGAAATGACAGTCCCCAGAAGCCAGCTAGTCTGGTATATGACACAGTGAGCAAGAGACTTTGTTGCCAACAAGGTGGAAAGTGAGGACTGATATCTGAGGATGTCCTCTGACCTCCATGTGTACACAATGGTATGTGTGCATTGTGTATGGAAAGAGAACTAGAGAACTCAAAATTAACAGCTGAGTAAAATAAAGACTAGTCAGGAAGAGATTTGAGATGAATTATTATTTTTGTTTGTTTGTTTGTTTGAAATAGAGTCTCCCTGTAGCCCCAGCTGACCTGGAACTCACTATGTAGACCAGGCTGGCCTTGAACTCACATAAATATTCCTGCCTCTGCCTCCAGAGTGCTGGGATTAAAGGTGTGTACCACCACACCCAATAAGATGATTTATTCTTATCCCTATTTCAACTCTTGCAGGAAATGAGGCCTTTGGTTATGACCAATTTTTCAAGGACAAGATCCTGGAGAAGAAACAGGACCATACCTACCGTGTGTTCAAGACTGTGAATCGCTGGGCTGATGCATACCCCTTTGCCCAACACTTCTCTGAGACATCTACAGCCCCAAAGGATGTGTCTGTCTGGTGTAGTAATGACTATCTGGGCATAAGCCGACACCCTCGTGTTCTGCAGGCTATACAGTGAGTAAGAGTGTGGGCACCTGTGGGGGCACACCTAAAGAAGATCTGGACCACATGTTAAGGGAAAGGCAGCACTGGCAGTGGGAATCTGGGTTCTAGTACCATCTCTTTTGTACAAGATCCCCCAGGATATCTACTGCTCAGATATGAACTAAGTCACTCAACATACCACATTTTCTAAGCTGTTATTTGTTCAGTGTGAAGGATGATAATGGAAAACCAGGACATAAAAATGCTCACTGTCCATGAGCTATGAGCTGTAGGATGATATGTATGTAACTTCCATTACCTTTTCCAAACTAATCAAGCTACATCTAGCTTCTGCCTCCATCCCTGAGTGCCTCCATTTCTACCCTCCTCATCCTTTACTTAGTTACAAAGGACAGTTTACACAGAACCGTTAAGTGAGTACTGACCATACAAAGGGAACCAACATACTCAGTTACTCAGTGCCTAGCAAGAGGTTTTTTCATTGTGTCCTCCTTCTGTTTTCTCTGGGCCAGCGAGACCCTGCAGCATCATGGAGCTGGAGCTGGTGGCACCCGCAACATCTCAGGTACCAGCAAGTTTCATGTGGAGCTTGAACAAGAGCTAGCTGAACTACACCAGAAGGACTCAGCCCTGCTCTTCTCCTCCTGTTTTGTGGCCAATGACTCTACTCTCTTTACACTGGCCAAGCTCCTGCCAGGTGAGCCCAAGGTTTGGATTTGTTCAAGGCTGGTGTCTTACGATACAGGATCCAGTCTCACTTGCTGCCCCTCAAGTTCACTTGTTTCCATTGTCCTTCCTTCTTACCTATCTTGCATATTCTTATCAGTACATGTTTATCACTCTGTTTTTGTTCCTTCTGCACCTAGGCTGAGGACTAGCAACCAGGGAATACACTTAACCTCACATAAAAGTAACACCATAAATTCATCATCTTCCAGCTTAACAAGGTTCTTAACATTCCTTGTTTTTGTCTCCACAGAAGCTTTTTTTAAGCATTTTTATTGAATTTTTGCGATTTCCACACAATATAACTTGATGACATTTATATCTCCTCTCCCATCCACTCTTTCCTACATGACCCCCTCCGCACTAAATTTGGTGTACTCTCTCTGGGTAATAAAGCCTACAGAGTCTAACTTGAATCCCCAAATGTTCTCCAGTATGGGCTCATCCACTTGAGCTTGCATAGGACTTGTGCATGCTGTCACCATTGCTGTGAGTTCCTATGAGTAACTGGTCAGCTGTCTGGAGAACTCTGCCCTCCCATGGTTATCCACCACCTCTGGCTCTTACAATCGTTCCACCTCCTCCTCTGCAACGATTCCCAAGTCCTGAGCTCCCGAAGCCTGACAGAGCTGTCCCACCCAGAAATCAGTGCTGCGCAGCCCTTTCCTCCCCACACATTATAAAGCCATAAGTTTTCCACAGAAGCTTTTTAAAACCCATTTTTCTCTCTAAAACCTGACTACCTCCATCCTTCACCTGAACATATAACCCATATCATATTACACAAATAACACAGAAGCTACCAGGTAGCATCTCCTTATTTATTGATATTAAACCTACAAATCTGGGACTGGAGAGATGGCTCAGTGGTTAAGAACACTGGCTGCTCTTGAAGAAGACCTGGGTTTGAATCCCAGTATCCACATAATAGCTAACAACTGTCTGTAATTCCAGTCCAGGGGATCTTACAGCATCTTCTGCCCTCTGTGGGTATTGCACAGCATGGGTGCACTTACATATGTGTAGTCAATACATGCCTATACATAAAATAAAAATAATAAATTAAAAATTAAAAAAATAAATCTAGCCAGGCGTGGTGGTGCACACCTTTAATCCCAGCACTCGGGAGGCAGAGGCAGGTGGATCTCTGTGAGTTCAAGGCCAGCTTGGTTTACATAGTGAGTTCCAGGGCAGCTGGGGCTACAGGGAGACCCTGTCTCAAAAAGACCAAAAAAAATAAAATAAAATCTACAAATCTGATTGTTTATCTACTTTTCCTCATTCTCTTCCTTTACAATGAAAGGTATATCCCCCTTCTGCCTAAAGGCATCCCTTCACTTCTATACTGGATCCATTCTCCCACTCTGTAGTCAATGATGTCATCACCTCACATGCCTTTCATTACAGTCTGAACCCAGGATGAATACAAGGTTGTATATCTCCTATGTAAATCCTGGGCTTGTAGAAATGCTCAGATAGAAGTCACTTAAATGTCACATTGATCAACTTCTACTCAGTTCTTAGCTGTCCCCCTAGTCAGTTTTTGAAATCTCTGGGTCAGATTTGCAAATCCCCCTCATCTCTCTCCTTCCAGAAGTTGCCCTCACCTCCTACTGCACTGCACATAGATGACACCAGACAGCATTATTCTCAACTACTAGCCATAAAATAACTTACAAACTTGTCCTCATTTCACTCTTTGCTTTTTGTGACAGTAGAAGAGGTGCCTTTTTTCTTTTTCACCAGTCTTGCCATTGGTGCTATGTATCATTGCCCACTATCCACTTAGGAATCTCATCTATCAGTTTCTTTCCTCCTCTCTGTTCTCCCTCGCTCCATCCATCTATCTCTCTGTCCCTTCTATATCTTCAGCCTCTCGTTCTCTTTAACCATGTTCATGTCTCTTGTCTCAACTACTACATCACTCTCTAGAGACATCTACCCTGTCTCTCTCGTACCTATAAGAGACAAACTACCAGAGAAAAGTCTGCACTTGCTGCTTTGCACTGCTATTTCACTGCTTGCTGATTTCTCAGCACACTGTAAGTGCCACCACTGCTTCCTGGAAACTTTTTCTGAGGTCACCAAGAACCCCTAATGAAGTCAACATCTTTCAAGTTTCTTTTTTATTCTTTCTTCCTCCTCAACCAATATAATTCAACTCTTTTTTTGAACTCTCCACTGCTATCATTCTAGTCTTGACCAACATCATTTTCTTCATTTATTCTTCACCCTCTTACAATCTGTTCTTCACTGCATTCAAAACAATGTTTTATCATATAAACCTATCGTCATTTCCCTCTTCAAAATTCTTTAATGCATTCCCATTGCCCCTAGGATCAAATATAAGCTCCATATCATGGCCTCTAAATAAACTGAATCCTAATGATAGCTTACATCTGTAATCTCAGTACTTGGGAGACTGAGTCTAGAGGACTACATAGTGAATTTCTGGCCACTCTGGGTTACAGAATGAGACTTTGCCTCAAAAAAACAACAACAAAAGAATTCTATTATAGCCATCTCTTCAACCTTATCTTTTGACATACCTATCTTACTCTTTCACTCATTTACAAATTAGGTGTTCACCCATTCACTTGAAAATATTTCCTTAGCATTTACTTGTGCTGAGCTTTATTCTGGGAACAAGGAATAGAATATTAAAAGATTTTGTTTTTATTCTCAAGAAATTTCTATCCAATTAATCTATGACCTCCAAGAAACCATGGTTCATTTTTCTGAAGTAGGAGTTATCCCTTACTTTATTAAAGGTCATAGTTCTTGATGTCTGTGCAATTTGAAGGTTCCAGGAAACAGATACCCTTACCAATTTTCACACCTCTCTACCCTCCCAGTATGGCCTAGTTAAAAAAAAAAACCTCTACATTCTTCATATTCTAGAGAAAACCCTTTCCCTCTCTAGGCTTAGCCTTCTTCCCTATATAGTAAGGGGGCTGGATACCATGGTCGTTATCTGCCATTTTCACTCTGAACTGTCATGAGCATATGATTCCAAGAAACCTGATAAGAACTCATGCCTTAACTATAAACAGATGGGCACTACCCAGGAAAGTGAAATTTCATGTAGACAAGGAAGAATCTAGCATCAGCCCAAGTCTACATGCATTCTCTGAAATTAAGCTTTTTCCATGCATTGAGGAGAATGAACCTAAGCCCTGTCATAGAGGGCTTAAGTTTCCTGGGATATTTAATTTTCCTCCACCCTAAGACAATCAGAGGCTGCAGTTAGGCATACTTGGAAGGAGGAGTAAAAGTATAAGAGATTCTGGGCAAGGGAGTTGTGACAAGGAGAAAGAGGTGTGTCACAAAGGTTTCTGGAGGAGGAGGAAGCACAATAGGTCTTCAAAGGGAAGGTGACACCTAAGGGTAAAGTGGGAGAACTGAGACAGAAGCTTAAGAATTACATGTTTGGCTCCTCAGGGTGTGAGATTTATTCAGATGCAGGCAATCATGCTTCCATGATCCAAGGTATTCGCAACAGTGGTGTAGCCAAGTTTGTCTTCAGGCACAATGACCCTGATCATCTGAAGAAACTTCTAGAGAAGTCCAACCCTAAGACACCCAAAATTGTGGCCTTTGAGACTGTTCACTCCATGGATGGTATGTATATGTTTAAGTGTATGTTTACAAGTATTGCTATCATAAATAACATAATGATAATAACTAACATTTATAAAATGTTTAGTGTGCCTAAGCAGCATCTACGTTATTCATTGTTTACATGCATTAATTCACTAAATTCTCACAATGATTCTATGAGATAGGTAGTATTTAATTTTTACATGAGGAAATTGAGTCATGAATAATTGAATCACAGAGTCACACAGGTAAACGCCAAAGGATAGTGGCAGCTATTACACTCTTGCATGTAAAAAAAAAACTAAAGTTTATAGATAGCATCAAAATCTGTCTTAGTAGCTCAGGAAATTGATGCCAAAGTGATTATTTTCATCCTAGAACATATAACTCTAATGCCCTTGCATGAAATTCTTTACATTAGGAATGTTACATGCAAGCCTGTCATTGATTGCTGTATTTGGTTTCACAGTGGCAGATTTCACAAAACTATTGTCTAGGATTTTTTTTTCATGGTCCACTATGAAACACTGGAGTCAAAACAGTCAAGTTAGACAGATCTGGATTCAAACACCACCTTTGATATATATTGCCTGTTTGAACTGAGAACAACTCTTTAACTCCCTTAGTCTCAACTTTTTCCAAGGCAAAATGTCTGGTTGTAGGAATTACAGGTGATGGAAACCATTCCATCTATTAGAGTTTAATTGAAATAAGTGACTTTATTCTCCTACCTCCTTTCTTCTAGCAACTGAAACAAGGCCCAGAGCTTTCTAGTGTTGGCCTTGTGCAGCAGAAGTCATGTGTTGTAGGTATCTGCTTTTGTATTTAAGAGAAAAAGTCCTCCTTTCCTTTCAACCTGTCACTTTTTCAAGTGAAACAAGAGACGATCCATATAGTCTCTAATTTACTCACCATAAGCATCATATAATTACAGGCTGTCCATGTCCTTTAACCCTAGCATAACAATTTATTAGCTTGAGCAATTTTTTAAAATTTATTTTTATTTTATGTGTATGAGTGTCATGCCTGCATGTGTAAGTGCATCTGAGTTGTGCAGTACCAGGGAAGGACAGAAGAGGGCATCAGATCCCCTGGAACTGGAGTTACAGACAGTTGTTAGCCATCATGTGGGTGCTGGGATTCGACCTCAGGTCTTCTGCAAGAACAGCCAGTGTTCTTAACTGCTGAGCCATCTCTCCTGCCCCATGAGCAAGTTTTTAAAAATATTTATTAATTATTATTGTGTATGTGTATATATGATGTATGTGGGCACCCATGTGATGGTATACACGTGGAGGTAAGGACAACTTTGTGGAGCTGATTCACTCTTTCCACCTTTAGAGGCTTGGGCAGCAAGAGATTTTACCTGCTCAGCCATTTCACCAGCCCCATCAGGAAAGTTTTTTAATAGCTTTTTGTCACAGTTAAGGTATTTCCAAAATGGTGAACATGATAGAATAGCTGTGAACATTAAATGAATTAACATAAGTAAAAAACTGTCAAGCCCACTCACACATTTCAACAACCAGCAATAAAGTAAAACCAGCACATTTGCATAGTTCTAACACAGAGAGACTATTCAAATTCATTATTTCCCTAGTCGAAATTATGGGTTGCAATCACACTAGTGACACTTGCAAAAGAATTGCTCCTTTTTTTTTGGTGGAAATTGCCTAACCTAGTTCTATGGATAAATTTCTCCTTCTGAGATGATACCTGAACAATCAAATTGTCTTCTTTGTCTCAGGTTCCATCTCCTGTTGTTGGTTCTTATGCTGCCCTAACAGATGACCCTGACCCTTTCTCCTTCATATTCTTTATTCCTGTTTCATCTGAAGTTTCTTCTTTATTCCAACTCTCTTTACCTTAGCAATTTCCAGGGAGTAGAGGGATGGGGAATAGCAAAAGGCGTGGATTCTTAGAATATTCAGTCTATTTAGGAGATTCACAGCCATTTGAAGATCTTATAAACAGCTCTCAGCATAGAAGACATCTAGAATAACATGAAAGAATTGTAAATTGGTATGGAAAATGGAGGGGAATATGAGATTTATTTGTTTATTTATTTATTTACTTGTATTTTATTTGTATGAGTGTTTTGCTTGCATGTATGTATGTACACCCATGTTGTACAATGCCTGCAGAGTCCAGAAGAGAGTGTTGGATCTCCTGCAACTGGAGTTACCGACAGTTGTTAGCTGCCATGTGGGTGCTGGGAACCCATGTCCTCTGCTAGGACTGCTATTAATCTTAACTGCTGAGTCATCTCTTCAGCCCCTAATTCACTTTAATTTGATACATTGTGACTGAGCCTGAGGGAGAGGTTCCCCAGAGAACTACATTAACAGAGATGAGAGAGAAAAATACTGACACAGAGAAGTAGAAAAGACAGTGAGGCAGAAACCAAAGAAACTCAGAAAGACATACAAGGATATAGAGAAAGTGTGAAGAACTGCAGATAGAAAGAACACAGAGAGGAAAAGATAAGGTGAAGAGGCAGAGGAGGGAGGGGGAGTGCGGAGAAGAAAGGCAGAATTAGAAAAATAGAAACAGACAAACAAACATGGAAATGAACACAAAAAGAAGATAGTGATAAAAATTCAGAGAGATAGAAATAAGGAGGGTCAGTGAAGAATAAAAATCTTGACAGAGGCCAAGGTGATGACTAAGTTCTGAAATCAGGGCTATAGAACACTTGAGCAGAAAGTGACTTTTTTCCATTTATTTAAACAAAGGTATAATACAGGCTTCTGCCACCCCTAGATGGAAATGTACAAACTTACAGGGGGCAGGGGAGACAGTAGAGAGAAGTTGAAAACAATAAAAACAAAGCAGTCAGAATGAAGTGAAAATAAAGACAGTGAGTTAAGCCTTGATCCCAGAATGGAAAAACTGAGAGGAAGACAGAGGGAGAACAGAACTGGAGTGTGGGTGGAGTGTAAAATGGTTGATGTATAAAGATGCTTCGAATAGTTGCAAATGAAGGCAAACACTGGCTCCCTTCACTACACTATCCTTTTTCTAATCCAAAGTAAGCATGGATGGGAAGTAAATTCCATACAGGAGATGGAACTGGGGAATGGTTGTGATTTCCTACCCCTATTCCTTGACTTTTCTCAGGTGCGATCTGTCCTCTGGAAGAACTTTGTGATGTGGCCCACCAGTATGGGGCCCTGACCTTTGTGGATGAGGTCCATGCTGTAGGACTGTATGGAACCCGGGGTGCCGGGATTGGGGAGCGTGATGGAATTATGTACAAGCTTGACATCATCTCTGGAACTCTTGGTGAGTGACTACCTTGAGCTTTCCTTATAAACAACCTAGAGAAGCCCCCCTCAGACTCATTTCTTCCTCCAATATATAGCTACAGGAGTTGTTTAGAAAGAATTGATAACCCCAGGCTTCTTTCTATCCCACACATCATCTCTTTCCCATCCCACTGTAGAGTTACTGAGAAAGTCTGGGAAAGTTGTTCTATAAGACTCCTGAGCTGGGCCAAACAGCCCAGTTCAACTTAAAATAGCTGTGTTTCCCTTCCCCATACCAAACCTCATCTTAATTAGACTCCAGGCCCTAACCAGTTAGAGATCCCCACCCTGCTCCTGCCTATCTAGTCACTGCATATGGCAGGATGTGACAGTCCTATCTCAGAGCCACAGAACCCTCAACTCTGTTATGTACAGGAGAGATGTGGAGAGGCCTGGAAAGGGAGTCTGGAGGCCCAGCTTCTGGCGTACCTGCTTGTATTACCTGGAGCATGATCCTACCCCTCTGGGGACTGATATGCGGTCTGGGTATATCTTTCTACTGCTTGTTTGCAGGCAAGGCCTTTGGCTGTGTGGGCGGCTATATTGCCAGCACTCGGGACTTGGTGGACATGGTCCGCTCCTATGCTGCAGGCTTCATCTTCACTACTTCACTGCCCCCCATGGTGCTCTCTGGAGCTCTAGAATCTGTACGCCTGCTCAAGGGAGAGGAGGGCCAAGTCCTGAGGCGGGCACACCAGCGCAACGTCAAGCACATGCGCCAGCTACTAATGGACAGGGGCCTTCCTGTCATCCCCTGCCCCAGCCACATCATCCCTATCAGGGTGAGAAACCCCACCATGCCCATTGCCCTCCCCACCTCTCTCTTCTTAGAACTTTCTTCCCCCCCAGCAAACTGCTATCTGATCTTCTCATAAACACTTTGTTTTCTTATGACCTCTCCTACTTGTCACCTTTGCTCTCTTTTTAAAATTTATAACCAGTCTTTTTCTGCATCAAAAATTACTCCACTGTTGCTCTAGACTGCTCTGACGCTCACAATACTATTCGTGGCTTATAATTTAGTGTTTTTCAAACTGTTTATAAAGACCTAGTGGATCACAATATCAGTTTAGTGGGTTATAATTAGCATTGGAAAATAGAAAAAAAAAAGACCAGAAAATGTTTGAATACACAACACATAGTAAAGGCAATTTGTGAGGAATTTGTTCAGCTTTGTGTTATGTGTATATGTTTTCATGCATCACTATAGTATAAAAGATACCTGTTATTCACAATTGAGGTCAGAAAAATAAAATGAAAAGCCATAGTACTAGCTGTTATTTTGGATCTCTAGCTATGTTTTAGATGTTAATCACTTTTAAAATTAAATGCTACTTCTTTCTTTCTTTTCTTTTCTTTTTTTTTTTTTTTTGGTCTTTTTGAGACAGGGTCTCCCTATATCCCCAGCTGGCCTGGAACTCACTATGTACACCAGGCTGCCCTTGAACCCTCAGAGATCTCTGCCTCCCAAGTGCTGGGATTAAAGG